ATTACATGAATGAAAAAAAATCGTGAAAATTAAAAAGTGGTCTTATACTTTTGTCAACCAGTGTAGCATTGATCAACTCACATTAAGGTTATTTAAGGCGATTACAAGTTATTTCAATCTTCATTTCCTTGTTTTGGTAAATGCGAAAGTAAACAATCTCTTGAGCTCATCAACTAATCAAATCAATATTAATTTGATTTGGGTAAAAAGGGGTAAAAAGATGAATGTTTCAAAATGACTAAACCTAAAGGTTGAAAAGAGACCAAAATTATACAAAATGTAATGAAACAAAAAAAATGAAATTGGGTTTGGTTAAATGGATACAGAATTGGCAAGAGATGTAACCAGGTTGATGATGATCAATTGCACCTAATGATGATTTGGGTAACCCAAAGATTAGGTTATCAGCGTCAAATTTAAGGTTATCCAATGATTGATGAACCAACAGGAGTGACCCATCAAAATAATCAGAAAACATTGAATAGACAAATGTGAAAATCGTTTGCCAAGACTTTTTCATCCATTGTTAATCAATCCTTTATATCCATAAATAAAGACAATATTCATCTTTAATTAATCATGATAATCATCTATTGATTTAAATCCTTTACCAAAGACTTCAACCGTTAGATCTTCAAGTTGATATCAATTTTGTTTTTCTGCCTTTTCTCATTGTTCACTTGATTATTTGATTTTGATGAAGATCAATGAAGCTTATTAGTGGTGATTAAAGATACAATCAGTTAAATAGATTCATTCATTGTAATTAACCTTTGATTAGTGGCTTTTTTTATCAATGAATCAATTTGTAATGCAATGTAATTTGTCCTTAACCAGAAACAGTGAAACCAGCAAAAGGGTTAAATCAAAATCTTTAAACTTGATTGATGTAATGGACAAGAAATAAATTAGTATATTACATGCAAGTTAATTCTTGTTTCAACATTTAATTTGATTCTTTCCATTCCAATCCAAGTATTTGTTCAATCTAATTGAATCAATCAGCAATTAGCATAAACAACCGTCACAAGATTTGATGTCAATCATGAAATCAACAATAAACTTGATTCACAATTTACTTTTAATGACAAATTGAAGATCACTTTACAAGTTGATTTTTAATTGTTGATTAAACATCTTTAAACAATTAGCTCTTGACAGACTTGCTATTAGCATATGATTAATGTGCATCAATTAGCAAGCAATGAACAAACTTGAGATGAATTTTGTTTACTTCAACATTGAAAATCTCAAGTTAATTAACTTTTTTTGTTTCTTCCAATTCATCAAGTTTCATCGAGAATTATTCCGATTCAACGATCAATGATAAGCTCATGATAATTGAAAGTAAATGTATCAAAGGTAAACTGATAAATTGATTTCAACTTGAATTGCTTGAATAAGAGTCAAAAAAAGTCACCAAATTCAAATGTTGATAATTCTGGTTAGATAAGAGTTAAAATGTAAATAACGAGTTGAAGAAACAAGGTGAATATCAATTGTAACAATTGAGAGTTGATTGAACTTGGAAAAAATTGTCAACTTGAATCTCTTTGCAAGGTAATTTCAATTTGGTAAATTCAATTGAGCGAAATGATAAGCAAATCAGTTAACAGGTGAGTGATGATCATAATGCTTTTTAACCTGATTATGGACTTATTGACTTCATTTGACTGTCATTTGGCTGATTTTTTGTTATTCCCTGAGAATGAAAGTTAACTGTTCTGGTGAGATTCAGTTAACATCATGTTGAGCTTGTGATCAACTAATTTTATTAATTGGTTACCTTTTTCACTCTCAACTTGATTGGTCAGGTTTGTTTGGGTAAAGCTGTACATTTACTGTTGTTTGTTTCATGTAATTTTCATAGTGATTGATGTAAAAATAGATTCATTAGACTTACGGATGTTGATTGATTGATAAACTCTGTAATTGACTTGATTGTTAATTTAACATTCAACAGTTAATTTTCATTTAATGGGCAAGAATAAATGTTGACAGTTGAGAGGGGAAATGGGATTAACCAATTGTATGTTTATGCAAAGTAACCTGTTGATACTGAATAATTGAAATCACTCATCAATCAACAAACCTTGTAAATAACGCAGGTTAATATATCTGGTAATATCCATCTCAATCAAAACCAATGAAAATCAAATGAAATGTTAAGCCTCCAATAATCAAGTTAAAAATTTCATTTAAACAATCATTTAAATTCATTTAGATCTTGAAAAATCAGTTTTCAATATTTCTTCTTGGATAAACTCTGGTTCAGTGTCAAAACAGGTGGAACCTTTTGGATAAACTGAAAGCAGTTTAGTCAAAATAGATGAAAATCAAAAACCCATTTCTCCTCATTGATCTTAGGCTCAACCTGGATGAATAAGTAATCATTTTAATCAAATTATTCATCTTTCAATGAATGAAAAAACCTATTCTAAACTAATCCATTTCATTAAAAACCAAACAAAATAAAAATTGAAAAAATCAAAGGTTTGCTTCAATTCAGCTTTTAGCTTATTGATTTTTAAAGACACTTGTCCGAGTTGCTTTGGTCTCGTCGGTTTGAAATGATTTTTGACCCTTTACCCTGTCTCTTGAATTTCATGTTAATATCATTCCAACGTTAAAGGCCAGGAAAATCTGGCCAAGTCAATTTGGGTAATTCTTTTTTGGGTTCATTTACATTTTTAATTTAAAACTTTTCCTTTGATCTTTTCATTGAAATTGGGTTAAGATTACTTTTTTTACCTCGGTTTGGATATTAAGTTGTCTGGTTGATGAAAATTGCATTTAGGCCAATATTACTTTTAGTATTTTGGTGAGTAGAGATGGAAGAGGAAACTGGATAATTTGGGTTGAATGGTGATTGTTGATGAGACAATAAATGAAAACGATGAAAAGGATAACATTGTTGATGAATATGATGATGATAGCGGTAAATTTGAGCATAAAGGCGATGATGAAACTGACATTTTGGTCACTAGTTGAATAATAGATTTACAAAAGGTTTTTATGTTAAATGAATGGGAATGAAATGAAGTACATTTAACATTAAAATAATGTATTTTTTTTGTAAATTGGTCAGCAAATCTGTTTATCTTTCACTCATCTGGACCTTCGTGATGAGGACGATGTAAATGATTATTATAATGATGTTAATGATGATATTTGTATCAAAATTGGCAGCAGAAGACATTACAATGAAGAAATGAAAGATTCCTTTGAAATGGATTCATTTAATCCTTTTCAACTTGATTTATATCTTTACCATGAATTTTACCATTTTCAGCCAGTTTGTCACCAAGAATCTTTCAAATCTGGTTAATCATTAGGACAAAGATCATTTTCAATCTCACCTGATCTAACTGTCAACAATAATCTTCCTGTTTCCTCCTAAATCATCAGCAGTGTAAATCGTCACGCAATGAAATATACAAAAAGGTAACGTTTTAATTAAACCATTTTGTAGTTGCTTTTTTATCTGACTTCAATGGACATGAAAGGGATAAATATAAACATAAAAAATGACCATGATTTATGTTAATCAAACGTTTGACGGAAGATCATGTTAAAGGTAAATGGATTTGTAATTGTAATTGAGTTGATTAGGATTGAGCAAAAAAAAGGACAGATCAAGAGACAAGGATGAAAAGGTCATTTTGCCATCTCTTTATTATTCATGTTTCCTGACAAACAAATTTGATACCTTTTTTCATCTTTCCAATGGTTTGAGGTGAACGTGATTTCAACTGTCATCTTTAAATTGTCAACAAAGGGTTAAAATTTGGTCAAGTGATTAACTTATTAACTTATTTCATATTTGCAACCAGAAGTAATCCCTTTTGAAATTGACGAGGAAAAAATAAAAACAATGAAAAAACCTGTCCACATGTAAACTGACCTCATCTTCCTGGTTACTTACAGAAATGGCTTTAGTTGGAAGCGCATTAAACCATCAGTACCAAGATCATCAGGAATGCAAGCGAATCAAATGTTTGAAGGTTTACATGAAATAATAAGTAATTGGATTATGATGGGAAAATTGTTTCAAACAAATGTAAGTATAATGAAAGGTGTTGTTGTTATTGTTGCATCCAAATAAATATTATACATTTTCATAAAGTTACTGGGATTCACAAAGTAATTAACACACAGCATCGCTCATAACCAAAAGGCATTAGCATCATCAACAGAAGTGATCATTATCATCATTTGGAAACTCCTTTTACCACTTCATCTCATATGCTTAAAAATAGTAAAATTGATTTATTGTAACAATAACACATCTTTGTCTGATAGGAAACTGGTAAAGTAAAAGGTTTAAATAAAAGGCTAAAAAAGTGTTACTTTAACCTGGTGTGGGATAAGAAACGGTAAAAATGCAGTAATAATGATAGATGTAACACTTTAATTGTTGTGTCTGGTTCCTTCTTTGGCTTTTGTCTAATAGCTGTGTTAAGCTCATAGATTAACAGTTGATTAGTTAAGGTTGAACAATATCAATAATCACATAATCTGGTTAAGTTGAGACAACGGTTTGGGTTGATTTGGACATCATAAGGCTTCAGCTTCAATGGTCTTCAAGATCATGAATTTCTTGAAAATATTCCCTTCTTTTTCCTCGATGTAAGTCATTGGTAAATTAAATAAAAAGCTTATTTTTTGAGTTTTTATCCAATCGATGCGATTCTAGATTTTATTTTGACCAACCTTACTAACAACTAATCATGTTAAAATGAAATTTCTTATAAAGAATAAATTTTTTCCCAGAAAATCAAAATTTGGTTCGCAATAGGATATGCAATTCATTATCTATTAAATTCTGAATCTATGTTTGCTCAGCTTATTTCCTGATTGTCTTTGGTTTGTATTGAAATCACTTTAAAGTACCAGATAATGTCACTTATCAATGGCCTCTGACCCTTTGATTTAACATGTTTTGCTCATTGAATAGCTCTTGCTGTGTACATAAGCTATTTTATGGGAGTCACATTATCTGGTACTTTACAGTACCGATAATTGATATTTTGATATCAGTTTAGTCCCGACCGTTAAGAGGGATCAAAGGCTTATTAGCCCATAAGTAAATAAACAAAAGTCAAATTAAAATAAATTTAATTATGTGTTAAATATGATGGTGTCTAACAGCTTGTTGGTGGCAAAACAAGGAAGACAATGAAAATGCGGAAGATTATTGGATAACAAGCTGAGAGCGCGAAAAGGAAAAGTTAACCTCCAAATAAGTTAACGATGTTAAGGATGTGCAAGTCTAACCAAAATGGTTCAAGTGTTATAACAGAGTGTATATTTTATTGTATTAGAATCTGTTTATAATTATATTTTTCACTCTTTTTTTAATAATATGTTAACCTGTTAGTTTGTTAATATAATATCAATTAATGTAAACCCAGGATCATCTTGCTAGTGCAATTCGTTGGTTTGTGTGAAAAATGTTACTCAAAGTCTGATTTACTGTTTACAGCTGACAGAATTTGTTAATCATCATTTGTTTTCTTCTTGTACTTTTTTTCATTTATGTTTTTTCTTTTCAGCCTTTTTTTCATCAAATCTTCCTGTATAAGGTACTCATGACATTGTTTAGCTGAAATAGGAACAATTGGAGGCTAGGAAAATGCTCTTTAACGGTAAATTGTCATAAAAACAAAAGCCATGATTTATTGACACGTTATGATTGATCTTAACTTTTTATATTTCACAGTAACTCTGGTGACATAAAATCAAGCAAAGTAATTGGGTGAATCTGTTATTGTCTGGGAATGATGACGATGGTTCACAATCAACTACAAAATTGAGATGACATGACAATACAAGTATCATTTGGACTGAAAGAAAAAACCAGAGGACCAGATTTGGGAAGCAAAATGAAAAATGATATTGAGAAAACTTAAGCCAAGAAGGTAATCAGCTATTTACATTTGCAGAGAAGATTTATGGACCCATAATTGTTACATTGTAGACAAATTTATGTATATTTACTTCCTTCCTCTTCCCATTGCCATTATCATCATAATATACATTTTCATGGTGAATCTTTAAACAATTGGAGTAACCAAAAAGCCAAATTGAAGTGTCAAGAATGGATCCGTTATTTAGAGGCCTTACAATGTTGAAATGAAACCTTCAAATTTTATTGATTCAGAAGATTATACAGATGCCTTAATTCCATCCTACCTTTGCAGATGTTTATAATTAAACCTTTCACCTCAGCTATGTCATCATTATCCTCATACGCATTAATCTTGAAAGAAAAGGTACGATTGATTGTTGGTTGGTGCATAAACTCTGATACTTTGGTCTGGCTTTGTGCTATAACTTGTACTTGAAAAATAGTGCAAACCAATCAAACAGATGAAACCAGCAATTTAAATTTTGATAACTCTATTTTGATCAGTTATCAACATTCACCAAACCAATTAACCATCAATTATTTACATTTTTTTCCATCTTTTTATTTTCAGGTAAATCTAAATATCTTAACTGTTCTCGGATATTTCCAAGTGTCGACTTGATTGTTTAAAAAGTGTCTGGATGGAAACGTATTTTCAATCAATCTGCTGAACAACTGGATCAGAAGCTTTACCCTCAAAATCAACAATCAAAGTGATTAAATTACCAAACAATACTCACCGAATGGATCAAATTGTGAAGGAATCATCATTTGATTACGTTATTATGGGAACAACTCAATAGTTACCTTGAAGATTTTGTGATTCATGAAAATAATCAAGTCAGCCTGATTCAATAATGGATTCAATTCAACTAAATGCTAAACACTTTTATTAAACTTGCAGTCAACATTTAGCTCTTGTATCAATGTTTAGTTGTGATACTTAACGGTCGCCAATCAAGCCTTTTTGATGCTCAAATTGTAATCATTGTAAATCAAGCAAAAGTGATAATCAAATGCATAAAAAAGGCGAAAGTTTGTTAACCTTTTTTCACTAAAGTCTTCACTATTTTTGTGTTTGCTTGAAAAAAATTCAACTCACGGTTGGACGAGTATTTCATACAAATCAAATGTTACGATTAAAAGTGTCTTGTAATCAAATTTTGATGTGATTAGATAGTCAAGACTTGTTAATCTTGGTTGAAATATCATGACTTGGTTGACTATCATTACTGATTTAAATCAATGATTGAAACCGTTTGCTAAAAGCCATTTTCACTTGCATTAAATTCCCTATTGATAGTTTAATAGTTGCACCGACAATTGGAAATAATGTGAAAAATTGTGACGAAATGGAAGAGATAATGAAAAGAAATCAGTGAAACATTTGATAAGTGAGATTGAAATGGTAAAGGTTGAAATATAGCTTCCAATATTGGGTAACTTTGAAAATCCTAACGGAAAATGTTGACGAGTACAATTTAAGTTGATTTATGTGAATTGTGAGAATTGAAAGTGACTGTGAAAAATTGATTCTCTCCCCATGATCAACCTTTGAAACAACAATTAAACCAAAGTGTGCCCGATGGTTGATTGAAAGTGATCCCCACAAAAAGCTGAAGGGTTGACTAAAGTATAAAAAAAGATATTGCAAGGTTAATTCAATCAAATTACATTTGGATAACTGTTGTAAACATTGTATCAAAGGTACTTTTTTTCAGTGTTTAATAATGAAATCAGATTATGATGGTTATGATGAGAAAATGATATATTTACTGGAACATCAAGTGGATGATGATAGGGATGAAAGAAGATGAAGATTAATCAATGATAATGATGATGAAGGAGTTGGAGGTGAAATGGGCGAAATGGTGAGATGAAAAGTAGAAACAAAAATGTTGTTTTCAAGTGAAAACTCATAAGCTTCTTAAAAGGAAATATTAAGTTTCCTTTTTTCATTCTGATACAGATGAGGATAACAAAGGTGTTTCAAGATAATGAGCATCGGAATAAATGAAGATATTGAAGAGAAGAGCAAAAAATTAGAATGAAAATTAGAATTGGTTTGACAAAGAAAAAAGTGTAATCTCGTTCTTCTGACCTTTTTTTGACTGTTAGTCTTGATTGTTTCACTTGATAACCTTTTCGTCCCTGTCACCATATCATCATTATCAACATGGTAAGCATCAACGAGTACATCATGATGATGAGTTGAAATAAATGGTGAAATGAGGTAATCTTATAACGGACTTGTCTACTTACATGTTAACATTGCTTTCCTTTTTCAATTTGAATATCAAACTCTTCCTCATCTGTCTGCCTTTTCTTGTTTCTGTCTTCACTTTCGTCATTTCCATCTCTGTCTATCACCTATTATACAAAGCCTTGTCTAATGTTTCAATTCAATGTCTGTCTCAATGCCTAAAGGCTCATTGTTTATATCTGTGTTGGACCTTTTTACTTGTTTCAATTCAATGTTGTATTACATTTTCATCATTACATTAACAGCACCTAAAACACCAACCATTATTATTATGATTATTTTTATTATTATTAGATTTTTAACAGGCTCAACGATCATCATTATCATCACCATCATTATCATCATCACCATAACTATTATGATCATCTTACCGTTGCCTATTGAATCATTGGTTACCATTATTTTTTTACCTCGTTCACTTTACCTTTTGTTGTTAATAACTTTATGGTCTTTAATGATTCCTTTTTTTCAAGTTGATCAAATAAGGGTCAACCTCATGACCCTTTCTGCCCTTTTTCATAAAAGAAACCATTCAGTCTTTGTCTGGTCACTTGGCGATACCATTAGATGAACATGAAAATGTTTCACTTTGATAAATAGTCAAGGAAGTTGTTTACCTCTAAATAGCCTATTTTTAAATTAAATCAATAACTTTACTGTAATTAATATTTTTTAATTAGTACAATTAATTTTAGCTATTTACCAGACCTAATGTGGTCAACAAAAAAACCAATTAAATGGCTAGTCTCACAAATAATGGGCTGTTAGTAGAGTCCGCAATTTTGATGCTAAATTGAAAAATTATCCATTGATTTATTACATTATGAGAAAATTAGAAATATCAAAGATTATAAATTAAAATTTTTCTTTTTCGACTCATGAAAATATCCTTTTTAAGGAATCTGAGGTTTCTTCGAGTCCTGAAGTAAAGGTTTGTCAAGAGCTTTTATCCTAATATTTTACTCGCTAAAGAGCCGAGATTTTTGGTCAATCTTATCTTTTTCAATGGGTATTCCGAAGCTCTTGTTTGTGGCATATTGGGTTGCGAGCGCTTCAGCCTTTTAGCTCATCTTTATCCAAGTATTTGGATCTAAAGACATCGGTTTGATACAAAATTATAATCAGCTTCAGGTTTAATAAGCCTTTTTGTCAAAACTGTTTACTGTATTTTGGTTGACCAGTGTAACCAAATCCATTTGAATGTTAACATTGTGTTGACATTCACTCATGGCACATTTTACATTGTATTTGAATGAGTAATCTCAGACTATTAAATTATTCACGGAAACCACCAATTCTGACGGAAAGTTTACCATTTTATGGATAAAATCAGCAAACCAAACCATATCATAATCATTATCATCATCATGATACTCATAACATGTGAAAATGATTTACACGGAAAAGGAAAATTGTCACTTTGAAGTCAGCAATTTAGCTAATCATATTAACTGTCCTAACTGTCCACGGAAGTATTAAGATTGAAAAATTGTAAATAAATTGAAATGTTCATCACATTAACCTAAAAATAAGATTGATATATCAAGATCAACAATTGATTTCACTGACAAGTGCAAATCAAACAATCCATAAGATATGTTTGATAAACACTGGAAAAAGTATTTTAACGACACTTTTTCACAACTGAAAACGCTCTAGGAAATGGCACCCAACGATTTACCCAAATGGATGACTGGTCTCTCTGGTTGTAATGATAATAAAATAACCTTAAAATGAAACTCATGTCATGAAAAATGTCATTTGAAGGTGAAAGTATTGAAAATAAGGAATCATTTTTCAAATGAAATGTTTTTTTTCTAGTAAATTCACTTATTTATAAGACAATTAACTTGCGATGATAGTAATGCCTCTATTTACCTCCCGAATCATTAACATAATGATAGAAAGGCCACCCAGAACAATTTGATTTTTTAAATGATAAACCATTTTTGATAAAATAATTCAATTAATAGTGCATCTCTCTCTCACTCTCTGTGAAAATAAACTCATCAGCCCGATGTTGATAGTAATGATGATTATGTTGTTTTTTTTCTCAAAAAATTCCCATATGATCTTGTAACCCTTTGGCTGATTGATTGTATTTCAACATAGGATTGTTATCCTGTGAACCCAATTATTGAACTTTCTTTTCTGATTACTTTTAAACCATTTATCTCTCATGGTTCTCATTCACCTTCAAGGTAAAGATTTACAGATTCTCACAGAGAAGGCGAGAGTCACAATCATTGTTGAATGTGGAGAGCTCTAATGAGTTATTAATATTTTACACTTGTAATTAACAGTCCTTTTCATTTCTGCAATCATATTTTTAACCAAAAACACATTTAATGCCGATCCATTTCGGGGTTCAAACGTTGAAACTGATGATGAAAAAAGATTAATTTTTCCGACCGATTGTATATGTTGTTTAAAACCACCTAAATTGAGTTTCCATTTTTCAATTTCTCCATGTAAATTTATCAATTTTAAATATATTAAGCTGACTATGAGCTAAAAATGGTGCGAAACTCAATTTGGGTGGCTTTATTATTCTTCCACGTTGGATCATGTCTTCATCACCTTGCTGCTAACAAGTTGTTAGTCTGCTTCTTTTACTACCTTTCCAATTCCTCGAGGTGATTTTTTTGTAAGATTTTTAATTGAAAAGAAAGATAATCATTTTAATGATGATTTTATTGCTTAACTTAGCATGTTCCAGTAAATACACTTTTCCATCGATGATGATGATGTTGATAATATTGGTGACACTGGTGATAATGATGCAGATGATTTTTAATGATGATAAAAATGAGTTTTTTTTCTCCAAATATTGATAGGATATTTGAATGTTTATTTGGTGTTTTATAAAGTGAAAGTTAAATCAAGAAAAAATGTTTATCCAGATTAAGGTAAAGACCACCAAGGAAAAGTTTCTTGAGAAGGTAAAGCAAAGTGGTAGAACTTTGCACTTTTCTTGTGATTTCATTAAATTATGATTGGTGTAAATCTTTAGATTACCTTGAAGACCGTGATTTGTTCATAGCAGTATAAGTGAATTTTTTCTTATCTGCTGGTTTTAGAATCTGCAAAGATGAAAGGAGTAATGGAAAAATTTTAAATAAAGAAAACAAGCTATGAAAGATGCTAATGGAAATGTACCAACCTGGAAAGAGCACATAAGAGTCTCATCGACACTCATCATGGCCCCAGCATTGTCGAATTCTCCACAGTAGTTAGGAGCTGAGAATAGTGTTACCAATTGACGTTTAGCGAAAAATTCATAACCATCTTCAACAACCTGTAAAAAGAGAATAAAAACGCAAGGTTAATACTGATTGGTAAAACGAGTAGCTTGAAAAAGCTCACCTGGTGGGCTCTACATATCAAATCTAAGTCATGTTTTTGCAGGAATTTGGCGACAACATCAGCACCAAAAGTGTAAGACACTCCTCTATCGTTTTCTCCCCATCCCATAACATCTTTATCAGGATCAGACCAGAGGAGATCGCATAAAAGTCCTTGATCAGGAACATCGGTGGGTCTCATTATACGACGAATTTGTTCCATAGAATGAAGATCAGGGCTCAAACCTCCATGACAGCAGAATATTTTTTCATCAACAATAGCTGCCACTGGCAAACAATTGAAACAGTCTGTGAAAGTTTTCCATAATTTTATGTTGTATCGCCTTTTGCCTAGTAAGTGAAAATGTAATTTTGGTGAGTCAACTGGTTTTGAAACAATGTTTACAAAAAAAAGGATTTTTTTCCATAGAAATGAACAACGACTTACATTCATCATAAAAACCATAAATCCGATTGATACTGGCACACTCATGGTTTCCTCTCAATAGGAAGAAATTTTCAGGATACTTAATTTTGTATGCCAAGAGGAGACAGATTGTTTCTAAAGATTGCTTCCCTCTGTCTACGTAATCTCCTAGGAACAAATAATTACTTTCTGGTGGAAATCCACCGTACTCAAATAGACGTAGAAGATCATAATATTGGCCATGTATATCACCTACAAAGAGAAATAGAAATAAAAGAATGAATAAAATAGCAAATAATCAATGACAAGAGAAATAGCAATCATTATCACCTCTAAAATTAACCTAAATAAAAGGTTAGGGGTGAGCTTATGGCAAACCCTTTATTTGGGTCAACAATGAGCAATTTAAAACTATTCAAGAATATTAATCAATAGATAACTTGTCTTACCACATATTTTAAGAGGTGCTTCTAATTCCAGTAAAATTGGTTGACTCAAAAATATTTCCCTTGATTTGATACATAAACCTTTTATTTCGGCTTCAGATAATTGAACATTTTTACCAGGTTTGGAACCGCGAACTAGAGTAAATAAACAAGGTGGGATCAATAAATTAAATAAACTTGACCGAGAAATGGAGGTGGAAAGTGAATAAAAATGGCGTTTCTCAAGCCAATTTCACATAAGACTTATTTATTCATACTTACCCTCTAATAGTCGGGCAATGATAGAGTCGATATTGAGTTGTTCATTGGCTGGATCAACCATAATTGAATTGATTGATTAAATTATGATCAATTATTACAAAACTTAATAAAGATAATAAAAATAATTAATGTTTTACAGATGAAGGTACGCAGACTAAGCAAAGAAAAGGAAGCTGAAAGCTAAAAGTAAAGGCTTCGTACATATACAGGAAGCCCAAACCCCAACCAAAATAGTGATACTGAATATATCGATGTGAAAATCGATATATCATGACATTTCGCGATAGTATCGACAAAAATATTTTAGCTACAATTAAGTCTTGAATTTAGTTAAAGGTTTATTTATTAAATCAATTTTGCTTGTCACAGAAAGATTCCAGGCTGAAATCAATTATTTAATCAGCCTTCAGTTTTAAAATTTACTTTTCAAAAGTTCAATTCACTTCCAAGCTGAAAATTAAGTTAAAAGTTGAGTTAGAAGTGAAATATCATCCAATTTAAATTTTCCTGATGAAATTCATTAAATTAATTGCAAATCATAAAATGATGTAAATTATGTGATATTTAATCAGTGAATTTCTTAAAAAAATTCTTATTTACAAGAATCATCAGTGTTTTCCCTTTTCTGGAATAAAAGTGTAATATTGAAAAATTAATTTTCGAAGCTCTTGGTCTTACTAGTTCAATTTGGTTCAGAACTATTCAGAAGCTTTTCGATCTGCTGTAGTTTTTTCTTGGTGAAAGAGGTTATCAAAAGCACAATTTTAGTTGATATTTCGTAGGAAATTTTCACGATTGAACAACTAGCGAAATACAAAAGCACTGCAGTGTAGAGAATCAAATAGAATTGGACTTGTATTCAAATAAACTCTTTGGTAGATTAGGCATTTGAAGATAACCTTTTTCGAGTGACTCTGGTCAAGTGCATTGAAACTTGGACTGTTTGGGTCAAAAGTCTTTTAATAGCTTACAGAAACTATCTTCAGCTTACTTGCACCCTTCTTGGGCCTTATCTTTCAATTGAGCAGCTCAATAATCTTCTGTTTCAGGATCCATAGCACAACTTGAATTGCCATTTTTACTATGTAAATCACCTCTGACCTCAGCATCAGACCAGTCGAAGTAAAAGTTATCATTTTCAAAAGAGTCATTTCTTCGTATTTTATCCGGTTTCAATAGTTATAGGAATAACTATTGTAACGATTCGAACAGTCTTTTCGTCTCTTCTGGAAATTATCGGGTTTGCTGATTCTTTCAGCAATTGGTGGACTTGGACGACAATTTTGACTGTCAAATTCCAGCTATCTCTTAACTTTTGCTTATCGTCGATATCAGTGTCATGTTTTTTAGCTTTAACATCGTTATTTTTATTCTTATTAGGAAAAATTTTGTTGCTTTTGTTGTTGTTTGTGTTGTCACTGTATGTACCAAAAGATGTACGATGTATTAGTACGATCACTAGGGAAAACAACACTCTGTTGAACAGGCAGTTTAGTTTGCTCGGTTGGTAAAGCTAGTTTAGCTGTTGAAGTAGATGAACACGAAGACGATGATGATGATAAGGGTGAACCTTTGAAAGGTCAGTTTGGCAAATGATCAAAAGAGAAGTTTCGATTTAGCTGTGAAAACTCCAACAAGAATAAACAGTGTTTATTGATCAGCAATCTGAAACTAAGGTAAGATAACAGAAGGAATAAAGAAGGAATAACAAGAAAGAAAAATTGTTTGATTAATAAGCTTACGTAGTTAGCTAAAGGGTGTAACTAGCGTTCGTAAGACCAATAAGATATTGACCATAAACCAGCTACATTGGGTAAGTGTAAGCGTTTCAACTTAAAATGACAGTTTTTAATTAGTAATAAACAAATGACCAACTGTGATGGCATATGGTAAAATAAATCTACAGTAATATGGTCATTCCAATTAGTAATATGAGGGACATGAGGAAATTGCTCTCTGCTTAATTGAGACCATTTCCAGCAAACATGCGATCATTTTATACTCGTTATTGTCATTGCTATTTACTCAGCACAGTTTTGTTGCATTCAATCGCAATTGTTTTAAGCTAATTGTACTGCTAATTGTTCTCTTGTGATAGCAATTTAAATCTTCTAATTTTATAACAGATTTATTGAATCATGTGTCCTCTTCCGCTTTTCCTTTCAAATTTTCCTCTTTTTCTGCTGAATTTTCTTGTCAACATCTTTTTCGCTCCTCTTTCCTTCTATCTACTTTAGCGTACCCAAGCAGTCAAAAATTGAGTAAATTTGCATCAAAAATTATAAAGTACATGTAGTAGGCTAAATGTAAAGAAATGTGCAACATTAAAACTTACAAGGCGAGATTTTTTCAAAACTTGGTGAATTCATAGATATTATCGAAATAATAAGCATGCCCGAGCATTTGATTCGCAACTCAATAGTTTTTTTTTCAAAAAATCAAAATCAAATAAATTCATAAAGTTGACAACATGCTTTGTCGTATAATAATGTATGTTATATTTGCGGTTATTTTGAAATGAATAAGGGAATAAGTAATATATTATTGATCTTTATAATATACACACCAATCGATCTTGTTCGAGTTGATTAATTAGTCGGCCTGATGAATTTCCCTTTTTCCCAGGAAATAGACCCCTCATTAAGAATTCAATGATGTTAATCTAACACCTTTTCTGTTGAAGACGAAGGTGATGATACCAGGGAGAATGCTAAAGAAAATATTTCCCTCATAGACTTCTGATTACTTGTTTGAATCAGCTCCTAAAAGATGGTTATTTATGGCGTTCTGAGTTTTTTCGCTCTCTCAACGATCTCAAAATCAAAATTCTCAAAGATCTCAAGATAATATTTTTCAATTAAAATCATTGGACAACTCAAAGAATCAAAGTTTTGATGATTTTTCTCAGCCATTAGCGTTTTCTAGTTCCTATGGATCATCCCATGGTTCAATCGGTGGATTTAATGAATCTCAAAACTTACCTGCCTCTCAACCCTCAACTAGTCAGGCTCTTGTTGCAAGAAACATTTGAAATACTTCCAGAAACCGGCCAAAAGTGGCAAAAAGCAAATAATTGAGGATTGTATCATTGATATTCATGCTAAATCAGATAGCCCACGAACTGCCAAGAAAGGGTATAAATATACCATAAGATTAAGTAAAAAGAATTGCTTAAAGTGCGCAATCAAGAAACAATGCGTATTTGATTTGACAAAGCTGCATTATCGATTATCAGGCCCAAGTAAGTTTGATTTAAACAACATTCATCATAACTTTAAAATTAAATTGCTATAGCCGTTTGTGAATTTCTAATCAACATGGGTTTGATTTCATTGAGTCACGAAAAGCTTGCCGAGCTTCGACAAAAGAATAGGGAATTCTATACTTCATTTCCCGATGAAAATCCTGAAAAATAATGGCTGCTGAAGCTTCATGAGTTTGCCCATGCTAGAATCGGTGGATGCAATTTCAACTTTTATCAGCCATAATTTAACGTTCAAATGTTCACATTCTGAATAATATGATGACATCTACCCTTTATGAATCCTTTTTTAAAATTTATCTAAATATTATATACACTAGATCAGACGTTGGCTCGCAAAAATCGGGGCGTTAGTAACGAATTAAAGCTATCGTATTGCTAGATGCAACACTGGCTAACATCCATTGGCTAAAATACAGAAATTCGTAAAATTGATGTAAAGAGACCTGCCAGTAATCCGGACTAAATTTTTACTATTTTCCTAAATTTATTGAAAATAGTTAAATTTCATTTTTGGTTCGCTTCTATTTCAGTTCGACTTTTACATTAATTAACTTAATTTAATTTTCTTTCTTGAAATATTTATTCGAAAACTTGCACTATCAGTTTTATGCAACATTTCAGATTGAATTTGCTCGAGTGAAAAATTGAAAATCAGGAATTATGTTGCTCAAGAATAATGTAAATAACATATTGTCATGAACTTAAGAGGTTTAAAGGAAAAGCTTTATTTCTTAAACTTAAGGAAGGTTTCATACAAGCAAAAGGATCGTCCTAAACCTCTTAATAAGGCCTTATAAAGGGCAATACAGTGTTGGGGTCACTAATCAATGAGGAGACAGTGAGAGAGTTCTCGTAGAGTGACGCTTAAATATACTCATTATATATTGCTCGCCTGTGACCAAAACTAACCACAGTGCCCATGATCCACCATTTTGTAAATTTTCTTAATATTCCCGTTATTTGCGCAAAATTTCATTTAAACTACAAATAACTTATTAGAAACTGATGGGGTTGAAAACATTAACTTATTACACTATCTTAACAGAAGAAAAAGCGAGCAAAAAAAGCAAAAAATACACAATTCACGATATTTGCAAGAAATTATGGATCATGATCTACCATTTTAAAAATTTACTTCTATTATTCTTCATTTTTTCATTATTCCATTTAAATTGATGCTAACAACTTATTAGAACACAACAAAATTGTCAAATTTAACTTTCAGCCTTATTTCATTGAATGAAGAAAAATTTAAACCTTAACAATGTTTCAACAAAAAAACATGGATCATGAACCACCATTTAGAGATTTTCTTTCTTTTGTCGTTTTAAACAACTTACTACGACCGAAACTGTAGAAACTGTGGCCACTATTAACACAAAAAAAAACATTAACAATTTTCGAAATTTCGCAAAAAAATGTGAAAATTGATTCACAACTTACAAAAAAGAGGAATCCATATTTAAGAATTTAATGTTTTATTGCAAATGAAAATTCGTAAATACATAAAAATCATTTCTTTCCACCTCGTAGTCGACCAAAAGTTCCACATTTGTTCCCTTTACGATAATCCGTGGCGGGAACCTATTCCTTTGGCCCAGGACAATCTTTCCCACAATCTTTATTGCAGACATGTGATGGCACCCCGGGAAATGAACAAGTTCTTTCGTGCCGGTATTGATTATTTTTACCGCAGAATAAGGTCACTCACATCATCTACACTCGTAATTTACAGGTGTTGGTTTCAGGTTGGGGTTGCCATAATCCATTAACTTTTTCACCTCGCATCGGAACCCTTTAGGAATAGGTTTATTCCAATTATTAAGCATATTATCTGGTACCAATTCGACCTCCCAAACTATCTGGTTTCGATGATTCTTTGGAATCCTTTTTTTATCAGATAAATATCCTTCACCAATTATTAGGGGCCACATTAAATCCC